GCTGGGGCCTATCTCCAGCAGTCAACGGGCAAGTAGGCAGGGTACACCCTGGACAGAGAGCCAGTCCATCGCAGGGTGACACAGAGACACACAGGACAAACAACCATGCACACACACACACACACCTAAGGACAATTTAGACAGACCAGTCAACCTAACAGTCATGTTTTTGGACGGCGGGACGAAGCCGGAGTACCCAAAGAGAACCCACTCATGCACAGGGAGAACATGCAAACTCCATGCAGAAAGATCCCAGGCCGAGAATCGAACCCAGGGCTTTCTCACTGCAAGGCAACAGCTCTAACCACTGCACAGCCATAAACATTTTCCAAATTGTAAAAGAGAACTGGTCTGTCTTGATTCAAAGGGGCCTTAACACTGCTCCTTGGTAATCCGGTAGGCAGTTTTTCTTTGAGGAGAAGAGATCAAGCTCATATGTTTCAGACGAGGGTTCATTAAATCAGCTCAATTCACGAAGCACATTTTCTTCTTTGTCTTTAAGCTCCTTTTTATCCAGGGAGGTTTTTTTGCTGAGCATGCACGCTCTTTTCCAGTTAAACCCTGTTCCTCGTTAGCACCGGTGCATGTGCTCACACCTGGGAGCCACTCAGTCCAACTACAAATCTTTCACTGTTTGCAAATTAGCATCTCCATTTAAGTCTTGCTTCAAACGAATTCCCACCCATAATCCATCAGGAGTCAAACGCTTCGTTCATTTTTGTCAAAAGGTCTGGCTTTGTCTCCATTTCACTTTGAATAAGGATGGGTTTAGTGTGATGTGTGGTTTGTTGGTGGATAGTGTCCTCTCCATAGATGTGTGTGTGTGTGTGTGTGTGTGTGTGTGTGTGTGTGTGTGTGTGTGTGTGTGTGTGTGTGTGTGTGTGTGTGTGTGTGTGTGTGTGTGTGTGTGTGTGTGTGTGTGTGTGTGTGTGTGTGTGTGTGTGTGTGTGTGTGTGTGTGTGTGTGTGTGTGAGAAAGAGAATGAAGAAAATGGGTAACAAATGGTGGAATAAGTGAAACGTTTAAATGGAAAATGTGTTTAATAAACTGAGTAATACAGGGAACGTTTTCCACTAAATCTTCATGTGTGTGTGTTTGTGTATTCATCGGTGTGTTTAGGTGAAACTTCCTGCCCATGTGCCTGGCTTTGACCATGTGCTGGTGTGCGTGTGTGCGTGTAAAGAGGCCGGATGTCAGTTTCGGTCTGGTAGTCAGCATAATTAGAAGTCTCGCTCATCTCTTCTCTTTCTTCCTCCCTTCTTTTCCTCTACTTTCCCAGCTCATCCCCCTTTCTTTTTTCCCGACACTCTCACCTCTGTCCCTCTGAGCGAGGAGTCCTGAATCATCCTTCCATTCTTGCACAATGGTCGACGAGAGGGGAATTTAGTTTATTCTAATTTCCATCTCTGTCCTTTAGGGTTGTCACGGTATGAAAATTTAACCTCACGGTTATTGTGACCAAAATTATCACGGTTTTCGGTATTATCGCGGTATTTTTTAAACGGTGTTGCATATGTTCAGAAAGCATTGATAGTCCTGTTCTACACAAACTGAAATAGTTCTGAAAAGGTTTAACAGTGTTTATTAAACCTAAAATAACACAAAGCCTTAGCAAAAGTGCAACTTTTCACAAGTAAAGGAACAAATAGCTTATTTTTCTGGAACTTGTTACAGTAGTCAGTGCAGGTTTAAATTATACAAATCCAAACATTCAAAACATAAACAATATGTTAACAAATCAAAGAAACACCACTTGTTTTCTCATATACTTGTTTTCTTCATTATCAAAATGAAAATCTAAAACTCCAGTCCACACTTGACTTGAGCACTGTACAAGTCAACCTTAAAAAATATGTATTTAAAATAAATATCCACTTTAAACAAATTACTAAAATAACTACTACACTATGTAATCAAATCCAAATGTTCAAGTATAAATGGCATTGAATAAGTAAACAAATCCATGACAAGGAACTAATTGTATATTTCTCTTCATCATCAACAAATAAGATGCTTCATCCAGCAACAGGGTGTCCGTGACACGGTTTAAATGCTGGCAGAGGACGCTGCGGCTGCAGTATATAGTGACTCGTTGCATTCTCCCTCAACCAAAAGTCCTCACGTCATGCATTTCAGCTAAAATGCTAATGTTATCTTACCTTGCACTGGCTGTGGAGACGTGGGTGATCGTCACGCAGATGTGCCATTAGATTCGAAGTGTTGCTGCCTTTTGCAGACACTTGTTTCCTGCACGTTCTGCAAACGGGATAGCCGTCTTCTATTAACTGTCCCTCAGCATTTTTCAGAAATCCCAAATATGCCCATACTTCCGATTTAGTCTTCTTTGAGGGCTGTTGGATGTCCTGAGCGCTGCCGTCGCCTCCTTCGGCCATTATTTCAGCTTCAAAGTTTTGGTGCCGTTGCAAATTAAAAAGTGCGTGTGCGCGCAGCGGGAACTTCAGCTGAAGCGACGGTGGCTGGTAAGGGTCATCGCGCCGAAACCGCGGCCACGGTAAACCCACCGAGATAATTTAGTTTTTTAAAAACTGGACGGTTATTTTTATTGTCAACTTTTTTACCGGGGTTTACCGCTATACCGGTTACCGTGACAACCCTACTGTCCTTGCATCCCTACTTTGCACGTAATGTTATCCACCCATGCTCAAGTATTTTCATGGTGGACTTGTCTCAGTGGATAACGATTTTTACTGAGAATTTAATTGACCCTTGCTTTTTTAATTGGGACAGTTTTTTTTCTGTTTCATTCTTTGCCGTACCTGTTTTTGGTCTTTGAATGGAATGAGCCAGTAGGAAGGCCAGTAGCAGAGTAGCATAGTAGAAACACGTGTGTGCACATTGGTGTACTCCAAAATAGCTCTGCTTGTCTCTCCAAGTTATTTAATATCTCATCTCTGGTTGGTTGTGAAGGGATGGAGACGTTAATTGCAGCCCAGACTGCCACTGGTCATTATATCAGTTGCTGTGATTGTCTTGGAATTGTCAGGGTAAACGAGGGCTGGAGCAACACAAACAAACACACATATGTAGACAGTTTTTTTTAGTCGGGGTTCTGTCTTGGATAATTGGTCTGAAAAGCATCCAGTGTGATTGTCCCTGTGGCCCTGGCTGCCGTGGTAAATAATGAGGCTCATAAACGTGAAACGCAAGAGGATGATCATTGTGACTTGAGCTTTGCACACAGAGGAGATTAATTAAGGCGAGAACCTAAAACATACACTGAGAGCAATTATCAATTATACAGGTTCATTTGAAAGTTAAAGTAACAGAAATGCATGTTGCCACAAGGTATTCTGGAGCTTAGTTTGGAACTTTTTCTCCCTCATTATGTAGTTTGGTCTCCGTCGTTTGCAGTCATGTAAAACAGAAGGATTTGTCATGTGAGAACGCTGCTTTTACGTATTTTTAGGCCAGAAGATCTGCAGTCGAGCAGTTTCATCTGCATGACGCCGTTTCCCTAAAAGCTGCAAGAGTTCCTCTCTATAAGCCCGTTGCACAGTCCGGCTCCCCTTTCAGAGGATGGAGTGAAGAGTTTCCTCATCAGGAATTGATGATGGCGTTGCACTCTGGAAAAAACTTCCCTCTTGGACGTTGGGAGGTTTTTTTCTAGCACCTGTGGTGTGTTTGATATAAAAGGGAATCTTTGAGATCAAAAGGAGGAGATAATCATCCTGATGTGAAGCGTGAAGTCCAAGGAGATCAATTACATTTACATTTCACAATTTAGGCGTTAAGCGGGCGCCGTAGCCCTGAGAGATTGAGAGTCAGCGCGGCAGTGAAATTAGCTTCACTTTTAATTTATCAGAGCGAGCACCGTCTTAAAGGAAGTGCAAAGAAAGCCATATTCATAAAGCCTAAACACACTGACTTAATACGATGGCCACAGAAAGAACAAATAGATGGTAATTATATTGACACCATCATCAGCAACGTTTCCTTTCATTCAATTCATTAAACACAGTGGTGATCTGATAAAGATATAATTCATAACCTGCCCAATTGCCGACATATTCAATACAGCCATGGGTTCTTGGTGCCAGCAGCTGTCTTTGCCTCCCTTCCCTGCCACCACTCCAAGAACCTTAATAAAGTGCCTGCAGCTCATTAAGATCTGGAAGTATTTATCTTCTACCTCTTTAAGGATTCCAAAAGTTCAAAAAACTTCCGGTCGTGTTCTCCGTCACTTTCCGGTAAATTTATATATCTGAGAGCACAGGTCCCTTAAATTGCTGAGTCATGTTTAGAGGCATTTCTAAAGCTGACCCATCATTACTGTCGATTTTGACACGTCGGTGGGGCAATTGATAAGCAAAAACAAAGCAATATCCAGCTTTTGATCTTGTGAAGGCACTCTAGGCGAGTCCAGGGGAATTCTCGGTTTCCTTATTGATTTTACCTCTAAAGCCTGCTGGAAGCCTTGCTCAGTGGCAACAGTTTCCAGTCAATCATGAGACCTGGGTTCAAACATCTTGGGCTGAATGAGAATGCAGAGCACCCATCGAGGCTGCTGTGAAACCCTTCCTAGCCTCTGCCCTTGCTATGGGGAAGTACAGTGGGGAAAGATTACAGAGCTGGCAGCATCTCAAGCTTCAGATATCTGGAGCTGCACTGTAAGGAGTTCCTGTCTTGGCTGCAATCACTGCATATGCGCTTGATTAACATATCATGTAAAAGTATCTGAAACCAGGGCATCAAAATAAAACTAACCTACTTAGTGTTGCTCATGCTAATATGTAGAAATTCTTCGTCAGTAACTATTTAGGCCATTTTTATGACAAATGCTTTTGTGTGTGTTTTGTGTCACTTGATGTACTTTTTGATGTCACACGGCTTGAATATAGCTCTAACAGTTTTCTTCTGTTTGCATTAGACATTTGGCCCTCTTGAACAAAAACTATCCTCCTAGATGGTTAAATGCTATTGTGTAAACATTCATGCATGTCTTTCTGAAATAAGTATGTGGTGTCTCTTTTCATTCACAGGTTTCATCTACACTTGTGGCGGTACTCTAAAAGGCCGTAACGGCAGTATAGAGTCGCCTGGCTTTCCCTACGGCTACCCCAATGGGGCAAACTGCACCTGGGTCATTGTTGGGGAGGAAGGAAGTAGAATCCAGCTCATCTTCTTGTCGTTTGCTATAGAAGAAGAGTACGACTTTCTGTCCTTGTATGATGGACACCCACACCCTGCTAACTTCCGGACCAGGTAGGGTAATTTAATTTTTTTTTATATGTAAACTAGTTGAACACTTTTTGAGTCACCTCTGTTCGATTGCTCGTTAACACAAATGGCTGATTAGCTCAAGGCATTTGCTGATCTAGACGTCATTAATGACTTACTAAAGTTCAAACCATTACTCAGGGTGAGGAAGAACCAAGATCTAATGTACACTAAACGTGTGATGGTGGTTGGTGCCACCCATAACCATTTATTTGAAATAATAAAAAAATATTCAGTGAGCAGCATTTAGGTGGACGAAAATGTCTGTTGATGATAGAGATCAAAGGGAACTGGAAAGACTTGAACTCAGTCTCTGAGGAACATTTCCACGATGAATTAATGCTACAAAGTAAAGTAGCTGTGAAGGCAAAAGTGGGGTCTGACCCGGTACTAGTAAGATGTACTTAATAAGGTTTCCAAGGAGTGTACACACAGTTTTAAATACATTAACTATAAGCAGTATGGAACAAGCTATGAAAAAAAAAAGATGCACCGAATAAAGGAAACTGTACCATAATTGCTTTAGATTAAACTTTTTTAACCCTTTAAGACCGGCGGGAGCGCCGGTGCTCCCATTTCTGTGTTCTGTGTTCAAATGCTTGTAAAACTGAAACTAAATAAAATAGAACAACATTTTTTTTGCATATTAAACCAGAGGAGTTACACTTATCTCACACACTGAACATGTCCCAGAGTGCTGCGTATTTCTGCTAATGAATTTGCAAAGACAACCAAAATGTGCAAATGAGAAAAGCGTTTTCATTCAGACACAGACGCTGTTTCGATCTGATCTGCAGCTCACAGGGCTTCACACGCTACAGTAAACGTCGTTGTCAACATGAACTGTCACATGATTATCACTCACCTAATCACATGCTTTGATGTCATTTTCCCGCGAATTGTAGTTCTTTGTAGCTCTAGTCTTTCGGCTTTTTCTTGTGCTTTTTCGCAATAATACGTTTAGACAAACACGTCCTACACACATCACACACCCACTACACTCTTCGAAGCAGTTGAAACCATTACAGCGTCGGAGGATGTTTAAGTTTCACTTTCAGTTTCCTCACGTATAAATTCATGCAATTTTCTTTATTATCGTTAATATTATTATTGAGAGAAAAGGAAAACTACATACTACTGAAAATTAGCTACAAATATTAAACATAACAATTTTAGACTCCTGCTAATTATTATTTTTTATGTTTTCGTTTTTGTTACAGTTTATATAAATGAGTGTATGTCAGAAAGTAAATTATGGAGGCACTTCAAATAAATTTGTTGTTTGTAAGGATTGTGTGCCATTTTTTTTTCATTGACAATTTTGAGGGATAAAGGTGTGGCCTTTCTGCATACAGAAAAATATGTGCTTTTCAATTTCTGTTTGGATAATTGCACTTTTTAGTAAAGTATTTTGTTGCTATGAACACTTTGAATATATATTCTTAAAACTTAGAATGTAAGGGTTGTATTGATGTCTAGCAGGTTGAAATACTCCAAAGAAATGGCACCACATCATGTAAAAATGTTAATATAAGTTCTGGCAAACTTGTTCTATGACAGGCCTTAAAGGGTTAAAGAAAGACAATTTTCCAACACATTTTTCTTCAACCTTTTCTGCTTGGTGAGCTTACTGTACAATATCAGATATTAAACGCTTTTAATCGTTGTCAGAATGTTCAGATACATCAGCTTTCACCGAAACACTGATTACCAATATCGGAATACTTACACATAAATACTAAACCTTCTAATTAAATTACAGAACAAAGATATTCCTTTTAGTCACTTATAACTGGGAGATGTCGGGCTGTAAAGGCATCCATTTGTTTAGTTGTAGCCATAAACTGCTTCTCAGCCCGGAACTGATAAAAAATGGACCCAAATAAATGTAATTGAAAATAAGTTTTTTGGGGAATTCCTCTTTTGCTTCAAAATTTTTGTCGATGTATATCAGAAATGCTGTTGATTTAAAATGGATTATGTTTAATTACATTTTTTTACGATGTGAAATTACACCCCACAAAATAAAACACATTTATGTACTATATTTTTTAAATAAACCACTTGATTGGTTGGACCCTGGCCCACCTAAGCAACCCATAGCCACGCCCCTGATTTGAGCATAGCTTGTAGTTAATTTGTTTATTTCACAAATGACAAAAGTGTAGAACTGGGACTTAATGTTCATGCTCTGCAAAAACCTGTGTTTGTACCTTTGGGATAGGTTCTGTCACCCTTAAAGGAACGTTGGTGGTCTTCCGTAAATGTGGTGTAAGAACGGTGCTAAACTGGAAGGTAATCAAACCTAAACATGGATAAAATTTTTGTTACACCTATGTTACATAAAAATGAGGGACAAAAACATTGGATGATTTTTTTTTTGTAAAAATACCACAAAATTGTCCTTGTCTTATTAGTCTTTTGTTGGGGGCAGTAAAAAGTAAGTGTTTTGTTTTACAGTAAATAAAGAAAAAAACATATTAAATGCTGGTTTGTGCAGAACGAGTGACTACAGCAACACGGTCCACATTCGACTTAGGTTCAGTCAGGGTCGTGTATAATTATTGAATTATTCCACAATAAATGAGATAGTATCAGATGAAGCTATTTAGTCTTTTTTCTATTGTAATTTTCATCTGATTATCAGTTTAGCCTAATAGCATCTATTCACAATTAGATAACACTGCAATTACAATTACTAAGTTAGCAAATTAACAAATGTGTGAGTTTCTTTTGAAAGTCTTGGATTTCACTCAAAATGATAATTTAATTCCACTCAAGGAATCCCTCCACCCCCTTTTATTCCCACAGTCATGGTCACTGCTAGACTGTTAAGTATTAGTTCAATGAGCTATTCCGCAATATTTGTATATGCTGACTAAAAATAATCAGTTATAATTTTCAATCAAAAAAATTACAAGGCTTTCACAAAGAAGTGGTTTCGATTTAAAATAGCTGTTCTCCCTCCCAGTGGATACTGATCTTTACGACCTACTTATTTGGTGTCTCATTTTGGAACAAGGATACAACTTGATCCAGTCACAACACAGCTTCACACCATGATGATTAACTATTTTGTTTCATCCTCACAAAAAAGAAAGTGTTCTTTCATTCCTGCATGAAAGCTGTTACATGTGGAAACAAGAGAAATTAGCAACCAACTGTGATTTAGACACTTAATTCCATTTCGGATTATGTGGATGTGAAAATACTTGTGGAACAAATTCCTACAATCGAGTGTATCCAACCTGAAACCAAAGCAGGCACCACTCAAGATGTACTTTTCCTTTTTATTGCCTTGAGAAAACTGAAATCACTACACGCACTAGCTTTTGGTTTTTGGGTGTGAAACACAATTTGACTAAAACAGAAAATACAGTGTTGTCTTCTGGAACTCCGTTGGTTTCATCAGCCTGGTGATTGTGACGTGCTGGGGGGATTAAAGTCCCCCGCGCCCATTTCGGCGCCTCTCGGTGCCACCTGTGCCTCAGCGGTGTGTATCATCATCCGCGGTCATCATCAGTGGAGGAGGCGCCGTCGGCGTCATGGCTGTCGAGGTGGGAAACTTGCACCTACGTGCCAAACCGCCCCGGTCCTGGAAGGAGCTTGCTGGGCTGTGTGGGCCTGGACGTCTTCTCGTGGTGCCGACGCGCCTGTTGGATCCTCAACCATCCTGCTTGGTGCCATTGTTGGGCTTCGACTTGGATGCTCCATCGCAACGTGTATTCCAGGAGTTTTGCTACCGCTGGAAGGGTGCCAACCTTGCTAATCTGCGTCTTGTGGATTACATGACAACTGCACCTGTGTCTCTGGCTTCTGCTGCTACTGGACCAAAGACGTCATCATCGGCTCGCCTCGGCCTGGTTAATGCAAGGTCTGTAATGAACAAAACTTTATTTCTGAAAGACTTCTTTGAGGAACAAGGGCTCGATTTTCTGGGTGTTTGTGAAACCTAGATGCTGATGGGAGACACAAGTGCCCTGTTGGGATTATTACCTGTAGACTGTAGTTGTTTTAATACACCAAAAACTGCGGGCAGGGGTGGGGGGCTCCTCATTGTTTATAAATCAGGTTTTAACTGCAAACAGATTATCCCTTTAAGTCCTTTTTCTAGTTTTGAGGTTTACTCTTTTGAACTTGGACCTTTTCTTCTACTTTTTGTGGCGTTGGTTTATCGCACACCTGGACTGAATGTGGAATTTCCAAAAGACTTTGCTGACTTCTTGGCTATGAATGTGTTGAAATATGATCAGATTTTGATTGTAGGAGATTTTAACATCCATATTTGTTGCCCTGATAAGCCGATGGTCAAGGATTTTTTGCACCTGTTAAGTTCTCCGAATATCTCACAGTGGGTTCAGGGTTCTTCACATGTGAAGGGACACACTCTTGACCGAGTTCTTTCCTCTGGTCTTCAGTCCATTAATGTGGACACGTTGAGGCCTGTTTTCTCAGACCACTCTCCGATTTTATGTAATTTCAGTGTTCCATCTCGGCAGTTCCCTGCTTCTCTTCCTGAGAGGCGCAGTCATGCCATAAATCTTGCTCAGGTGATTTGTCACCTTTGGTCTTTAGCCTGGTGCGTTGCACAACCAGTAGGCTTTGATAACTGGACCTCAGGGACCTGCTGGGGGTGTAGGGACTAAGAAGATCACCAATTTAAGATGGGGCTTGTCCATGTAAGGCCCTATAGACCAGAACCAGGATCTTGAAATGAAGCCCGAAGTTGACTGGCAGCCAGTGAAGCTGGAGGAGAAGCGGGGTGAAGTGGGTGTGTTTGGAGGACTTGGTCAGAAGCTGAGCACAGGCATTCTGAACCACCTGTAGACGGTTCAGGGAGGTTCTGCTCAGACACGTGAAAAGAGAGTTACAGTAGTCTATGCGTGAGGAGATGAAGGTGTGGATAACTGTCTCAAGTTCAGAGTGGGACAGAATGGGACTCAGCTTAGCAATGTTCCTGAGATGGAAGAAGGAAGAGCCAACAA